GTGTGTGTGTGTGTGTGTGTGTGTGTGTGTGTGTGTGTGTGTGTGTGTGAGAGAGAGTGTGTATGTGTGTGTGTGGGTGTGTGTGCGTGTGTGTAGTGAGTATCTGTGTATGTGTGTGTATGAGTGTGTGTGTGTGTGTGTTTGTGTGTGAGCGTGTGTGTGTCTGTGTGTATATGTGTGTGTGTGTCTGTGTATGTGTGTGTATGAGAGTGTGTGTCTGTGTGTGAGTTTGTGTGTGTGAGTATGTGTGTGTGTGAGTATGTGTGAGTGTGTGTGTGAGAGTGTGTGTGTATGTGTGAGTGTCTGTGTGTGTGCGCGCGCGCACGTGTGCATGTTTGTGTGTGTTTGTATGTGTGTATGCATGTCTCTGTGTCTGCGCGTGAGCGTCGATGTCTGTGTGCGCGACATGTGTGTGCGTGTGCATTCATGTCTGTGTGTGTGTCCCCGTGTGCATGTCTGTGTGTGTGTGTGTGTACGTGCACATGCATGTCTGTGTGTTATTGTTTTCTTTATTCATTCACGCAATCAGCATGTCGCTGCGTAGGCAGCATTTATTGCCCATCCCTAGTTACACAGAGGGCAGTTGAGAGTCAACCACATTGCTGTAGGTCTGCAGTCACATGTAGCCCAGACCAGGTAAGGATGACAGTTTCCTTCCCTAAAGGACATTAGTGAACCAGATGGGTTTTTCCAACAATCGATTCATGGTCATCATTAGACTCTAAATTCCAGATATTTATTGAATTCAAATTCCACCATCTGCCAGGGCGGGATTTGAACTCAGGTTCCCAGAATGTTATCTGGGTCTCTAGATTAATCGTCCAGCGATAACACCACAAGGCCATTGCCTCTCCGATGTGTGCACGTGTGCATGTCTGTGTGTGTGCGTGCGTGTGTGCGCGTGTGCATGTCTGTGTGTGTGTGCGTGTGCACGTCTTTGTGTGTGTGTGTGTGTCTGTGTGTATAAGTGTGTGTGTGTGTGTAAGTGTGAGTGTGTAAGTGTGTGTGTGTAAGTGTGTGTCTGTCAGTATGTGTCTGTAAGTGTGTGTGTCTGTAAGTGTGTATCTGTGTGTGTGTTTGTGTGTGTGTGTAAGTGTGTGTGTGTATGTGTGTCTGTAAGTGTGTATGTGTGTGTGTCTGTAAGTGTGTGTGTGTGTGTGTGTATGTAAGTGTGAGTGTGCGCGAGGGAGATACAGGGCAGAATTGGGCAATATGGTCTCGAATAGGGATAGGGATATCCAGGCTGATAGCTCTCCACATCCCCCAGTTCTCTTTCTCTCTTTCTCTCTCTCTAACACGGTGATCAGGAGCAGAAAGCCTGGCTGTTTTCTCCCTTCTCCAATTACGTAAATGATTTGGATGTGAACACAGTAAGTGGTCAGTAAGTTTACAAATGACTCTAAAATTGGAGATGTAATGGGTAGGGAAGAAGGTTCCCTCAGAGTACAACAGCACCATGATCAGATGGGCCAATGGGCTGAGGAGTGGCAGATGGAGTTTAATTCAGATAAATGTGAGGTGCTGCATTTTGGGAAAGGCAAATCAGGGCAGGACTTATACACTTAATGGTAAGGTCCTGGGAGTGTTGCTGAACAAAGGGACTTTGGAGTGCAGGTTCATAGTTCCTGGAAAGTGGAGTCACAGGTAGACAGGATAGTGAAGATGGTGTTTGGGACACTTGCATTTATTGGACTGTGTATTGAGTGTAGGAGTTGGGAGGGTCATGTTGCAGCTGTACAGGACATTGGTTAGGGCCACTTTTGGAATACTGCGTGCAGTTCTAATCTCCCTTTCATAGGAAGGATGTTGTGAAACTTGAAAGGGTTCAGAAAAGACTTACAAGGATGTTGCCAGGTTTGGAGGGTTTGAGCTATAGGAAGAGGCTGAATAGACTGGGGCTATTTTCCCTGGAGTGTCAGAGGCTGAGGGGTGACCTTATAGAGGTTTATAAAATCATGAGGGGCATGGACAGGGTGAATAGCCAAGGTCTTTCCCCCAGGGTAGGGGGAATCCAAAACTAGAGGGGCATAGGTTTAAGGTGAGAGGGGAAAGATTTAAAAGAGACCTAAGGGACAAATTTTTCACACAGAGGGTGGTGTGTGTGTGGAACGAGCTGCCAGAGGAAGTGATGGAGGCTGGTACAATGACAAATTTAAAAAGCATCTGGATGGGTACGTGAATAGGAAGGGTTTAGAGGGATATGGGCCAAATGCTGGCAAATGGGACTAGATTAATTTAGGAAATCTGGTCAGCATGGACGGGTTGGGCCGAAGGGTCTGTTTCCATGCTGTACAGTTCCTGGGCAGTAACTCAGACCAGGAATTCTGGCTGATTTCCCACTATCTCAGTTCCTGTATAGTCTCAGTTTACACAGAGAGAAGTTGATTGCAGCTCACAGACTGTTAGCAGAGGGATCTAATTTGTGCGATAGAGAATGGAAGAGCAGATATCTTTGGGGAACAGGTGGATGCATCTGGAGGAAATCATGTTGAGTTGGAGAGAGTGGCTGTATGAAGTAGATTGTGGCATTCTGCAGTCATTAACTGAGAACGGGTGTGCCAGAGAGATTCAGAATGATACCACTAATGTCTCGTCAGAGAAGCAAATACAATTGGACTCTCCAAAGACAAGCTCGCTAATGGCACCACAATTTAATCATCGAGATTTAGTCAGGTGGACCAGCATAACCATTCCATTTAACCCACATGGGGAATCGAATCCAAATAATCCAGAATGTAAGGAGGACACACAACCTATCAAAGATGATGAACAAACTCTGCTCAGATGCACTGAAATCACTATTACAGGGCTGTTCCTTCACACTC